AAGTGTCTTTGGAAACAATTATCTGATCCCACCCAAATACTATTCTCCATGAAACTGTTCTCTGGGGGTAACAAACTTATCACCTAGAACCTACTGTCAGAAGGAAAGGAGTCTCAGTTAATTGTAGGCTATTAGTTTTCAACCCCAGATTCTGGAAGGAATCCTTATTTGCATTTTGCCCACTTCAACCCAAATATTTCATGTTTTCTTGAGACCCTATTGCTTACTACCCCATTTCTGGTCTTACTCTTATTCTGTAGACTTTTGCTTAAGCACAAAAAGGGAATTTAAGGAAAGATGTTGTGATATATCTTACAAGTAATGGAAAAGTTGAATACCTAGCCTGATAAAGGATGAAAACAAGTCTATCTCAGGGATGTTAAAAGCACGAGTTTGTACCACTTTATCCTTGTGCTCTATCACAAAAATGAAAGCCCTGTATTCTCAATACTTACATTTATCAGTTCATAGTCTTTAAAAATAATTTTAAAAGACCACAATCACTTATTGATCCAATTGTTTACCCATACCAATAAATTAAAGCAAGGCAGGCAGGACCATTCAGTGCAAACATGGTTGTGAGAACTGCCTGAACCTCACCCATGCCCTGGACACACAATGTAAAAGGTAAAAACTACAGTTCAGAATGTCTAAGGAATGTTTCAATAATCACACTTCAGGAATAACAGAACACTACATAGTTTGTATTCCTGGTGCCTATTGTTATAATTTTATTAAGTTAGATCTTTCCATAGAACTACCTTTTTAAATCTCAGCACCACTTGGACTGTTGATTTTTCACATGTGATGTGACTTAAGACACAAAAGTTTAGACCTTAAAGTGAAATATTTCCCTATTGTGTGATTCTTAGCTCTTTCATAAGACCAGACTACATGTCTCTACATGGGGATAAGTTTCATCTGAAGGGGATAGATGTTTTTCACTGCTCATCAGAGCAAAGGAAGCTGGTTGGATTAACCTGATATCAGAGATCAAGCCAAGAGACATTAATGCATCCATCTTCAGTATTTGAGCTTAGATACCACCTCTACTTCACACAGAAGAAAACATTATTGTTCTAAGATTGACATCTTTTCAGATTCTCCTTATTAAGGGTTCAAACAACCTTGGGTCTAGCCTCACCCAGGGTCACCTTGTTATCACAGCAATGATATTCTTTTTTAAATGACCACGGGTTTGATGTCATATGGGTAACAGTGGTCACAGTACAACTGAGTAAGATCAACATTAGGCCCCAGCCTCCGCCATCACTTCTCTCCTAAAAGGAGAAAAAGAAAAAAGGCTTTCACCTTCATTATTATCACCACTGATCTCTTCAGAAAAATCCTTAAGTATTACAAGCCATCAAGCCTATGGCTGTGGATACAAGCTTTCCAAAATTCAATTTTTCTGAAAGCTCAAATTTTATTGTTGGTGACAAATACTATCAGTTGTTTTCCTTGAAGGCTTATCTCATTCATTTTCAAGAAAATGTTTACCCAATACTTAAGTCTGAAAAATCATAGTTTTTCTGCCAGTCATTCTTTAAAGTAAAAATGCTTTTCCATGAAAAAAAGCAGCTAATTCAGGGCACAGCTCAAATGATTGTGCAAATGTTTTCCTTTGAGGCAGCCATTGTATTAAGCTGTGCAGAAGTACTTTGTACACACTTCCTATTTTATTACACAGAATTTAAAAAAGATGATATACACTCAAGCATTGAGATTTAATACAAACTATAATTTTATTATAAGTAAGGATTGCATTAAGGACATTTTAAAATGAAATTGTTAAAAAATTTTTGTTGAGTATATGGCTGTAAAGAAATCAGTCACTACTAGTACAGTTTGGGGACACTGCCTTGATCTATGCTGAGGTCCCAGCAGTTTTATCCACCGTTGCTTGTGCACCATTAGTGCAAACATCAACCTACTAAAAATAGCAAATAATATGTTAGTATGATTTTGAAATAATTTTGACCTTACAGTTTCAGGGACTTTTAGTGGTCTGTGGACTACATGTTGGGAACCACTGGTGTACAATATGATTCCAACTCTGTGTAAAAATACACTGAAATGACATAATAAACATCTGAAAGAATTTTCACCGACTTTCACTTGCAGGAGTCTTTTTGTGTGTGTGTGTGTGTGTTGTAATTTATTTATTTAAATCAATGTAAAGTTGGTTTACAATGTTGTGTTAGTTTCTGGTGTACAGCATAGTGATTCAGTTATACATATATACATATTTCTTTTCATATTCTTTTTCATTATAGGCTATTACAGTTACTGAATATAGTCGCCTGTGCTATACAGTAAGACCATGTTGTTTATCTAGTTTATGTATGGTGGTTAGTATCTGTAAATCTTGATCTCCCAATTTATCCCTCCACCCCAGCCCTTTCCCCCCTGGTAACCATAAGTTTGTTTTCTATGTTTGTGAGTCTGTTTATGTTTTGTAAATAGGTTCATTTGTGTCATTTTTTAAAGATCCCACATATGAGTGATATCATAGTGTATTTTTCTTTCTCTTTCTGGTTTACTTCACTTAGTATAACAATCTCCGGGTCCATCCGTGTTGCTGCGAATGACATTATTTTATTCGTTTTTGTGGCTGAGTAGTATTCCATTATATATATACACTATAGCTTCTTTATCCAGTCATCTGTTGATGGACATTTAGGTCACTTCCATGTCTTGGATATTGTAAATAGTGCTGCTATGAACATTAGAGTGCATGTGTATTTTCAAATTAGAGTTCTCTCCAGATATATGCCCAGGAGTAGGATTGCTGTGTCATATGGTAACTCTATTTTTAGTTTTTCGAGGAATCTCCATACTCTTTTCCATAATGGCTGCACCAAACTACATTCCCTTCAACAGTATAGGAAGGTTCCCTTTTCTCCACACCCTCCCCAGCTTTTATTGTTTGTGGACTTTTTAATGATGGCCATTGTGATTAGTGTGAAGTGACACTCATTGTAGTTTTGATTTGCATTTCTCTGATAATTAGTGACATTGAGCATTTTTTCATGTGCCTATTGGTCATTTGTATGTCTTCATTGGAGAAATGTTTGTTTAGGTCTTCTGTCCATTTTTCAATTGGGTTGTTCGTTTGTTTTTTGTTATTGAGTTGTTTGAGCTATTTTTATATTCTGGAAATTAAGCCCTTAGTTGCATCATTTGCAAATATTTTTCCCAATAATGTACTTTGTCTTATCATTTTCTTTATAGTTTCCTTTGCTGTGCAAAAGCTTATAAGTTTAATTAGGTCCCATTTGTTTATTTTTGCTTTTATTTCTATTGTCTTGGTAGACTCCCCTAGGAGAACATTGCTAAGATTTATGTCAGAGAATGTTTGCCTGTTTTCTCCTAGAAAGTTTATAGTGTCTTTTCTTATATTTAAGACTTGAAGGCATTTTGAGTTTATTTTTGTGTATGGTGTGAGGGAGTATTCTAACTTCATTGATTTACATGTAACTGTCCAGCTTTCCCAACACCACTGGCTGAAGAGGCTTTTCACCGTTGTATATTCTTGCCTTGCAGGAGCCTTTTTTGACTGATACCACAGACTCTTACATACAGTCAATGCCTTTTCATGCCAATGTGAAAGTACATCACAGTTTTTAATAGTTAATCATATTTTACTGTGTGGTCATACCACCTATTGTTTAGCCAAGTCTGTAGTGTTAGACATTTAAGTTACTTCTGCTTTTTCTCTTAGAAACACTGCTCAATTGAACATCCTTGTATAATCCTGTATGTACAATTATTTGATTATTCCTTAGGGAAAAAGTTCTACAAGTGGAATCCTTGGCTGAAAGGCAGGCACATTATTAAAGCTTCTTATTCAGGTTACCAAATTGCTCCTGGATAAGTTGTACCAATGTGTTATGCCAACCTGTCCCTTCTCCATGTGCCCCCCCGCCACCTCCCAGGAATCCCTATTTCTATCTCTGCCACAGCCTACCATATACTTGCACCAAAATGCAGATTTCATTGAGAGGTGTCAGGAAGCAGGCAGGGTTTGGAAAATCTCTGGGACTTCTCTCGTTTTCTTCTTTCAGTGCTTCAGTGGGCCAGGAAAGAGATGAAGGACTATCTTCCTGCTCTTATGTGAACTCAGGGGTGAGGGAAGGGTTCCCATAAAGGCCTCACCACTGCCCTTCTTCTAAAAAAAGGCAGACCTAGATCTCTAACTTGAGGGGAAAAAATCACTCTTTGCACCAAGAGTCATTCTTTGTGTCACATTGCTTTTTCTCATCATTAGAAATGGTAACTGTGGCATTACTTAGTTGCCAGAATTGCCCAAGAAAGATCGCTTTCTCTGTCAGAAACTGCACCAGATCATGCAATCTTTCCTCTCTGTCGACTTACAGCCAAGGCAGCAGATCTTGGTACTTTTTTTTTCATAAGCATCTGTTACTACCATCATTCCGTAACATTTCCTATAGTCACCCCTCTATTTCACTCTTCATCTCACGGTTGGTTTATCACAACTTCCTAATAAATGTTTCCACACCTAACCATCCCAGCTTCAATCCATTTTGCACATGCCCATCAGATTATTTTTCCTTTTGCCAAAAAAGTTAAGTAACTTCCAGAAAATGACAGGATGGTATTTCAATATCTCAGCTTGGGGTTCAGGATCTTCCCTAAACTTCCTCACCCTACATCTCCACCTCTATCTCTCATCACTTGTCTTCCCACAGCTTCCATTCTAGGCAATGGAACCTTCCTGCCACTAGAACAGATTTCCTACCTCCGCATCTTTCTTCAAGCCATTTCCCCTCCTGGAATGCTCTTCTGTTTTTTCATGCTGTCCTTCAGGGCTCAGCTTAAGTATGCCTTCTCTCCTTGAAGCTTTCTAGCAACTTCTGCTTCATTTAAGTAGATAGCATATATTTGACAATGAGCATATGTCCAGGTACTGTTAATAATCCTTTTGTATTTCTGTACCTTATCTTTCCAGCTAGATTTCAAATTCAAGCAAGAGAACATTTTTTTTGTCCATTGAAACATACAACTTTATTAATGACACACAAATGAAGTCTTTGGTGGATAAATTCAAGTCAAAACAAATGACAGAAGTGTAGGCTATTCATGATGGACAGGTTCACTGTCAATTCACATAGAAGAACCAGTACAAATATTTCCATTCAAGCAGCATGATTAAAATCACAAATGTGTTTTCCGTACAAGAGGACTATTTATTTGGTATTCATAAAATGGTTCAGCTTAAAGCTGGAGACTGTCACAGATAACATCACTCTGGATGATACATTATTCAAAAGTGGCAGCTGAAAGGATCCCTTTACTATATAAGCAAGTGGAAAAGCAGTAACTTTCAATTTTCATTGCTTCCAGATTGCAAAATCAGACATTTCTTCTACATCTTTGAGAGCACATAGCCAATCAGAATTTGTCCACTAGTTTTATAACTTTCACTTTCACCAAGAGGTCATGGTGATCTGCTAAGGCTCGAATTTTCTTAACGCACACTCCAGATGTGGTGCATAAGTAAAAAAGGGAACCTTTATTGAATTCTCTGTAGTTGAATACTTCAGCTCTGAGATTGTCATAGATGATCTCAAATAAAGTCAGGGCATTAATAAGAATTTCTGATTCCACATAGGAATTATAGAGGGAACTAAATGATGATGGCACTTGGGTACTCAGCAGTTTTTTTAACATATCTGGATTTTCAGCAAAATTTGAAAGTATTTTCAAAATCTCAACCTTGATTTTTCCACCTCCCTGAGATAACAAACGGAAAAAGTTTGCAATGGAATTGACAAGCAGGTGCTGGTAGTCATTAGTAATAGTCATGTTTGTTAAAAATTTTAGTCCAACTACCTGTACTGCTGAGTTTAGGTTCGAGGCCATGATGTCATCCATCACTTTATTCATGTATATCTGAAGCCGGCCCTGATTTTCATAATTCTCACTCAGGTTATTCATGGCCATTAAGGCTTTCTCCTTAATGTGGGGATCTGTTTTGTTGATCATGTTTGCAATAATCGGGAGGCCTCCCAATTTGCGAATTGTGTCTTGGTTACATGAATAATTGGCATTGTTGCTCAGAGTAAGCAAAGCCACTTGCTGGATGAAAGGATCATCTGATTTCTGAAGCAAAGCAAGGACTTTTCTGAGATCTCGGACACCCAGAATCTCATCAATTTCATAAGGAAAGGGGCGCTTCTGCATGGGAGTGGGTCTCCTCCCTCTTCCTCTCTGCTGGGTCTCAGGCTCAGAGTCTGATTCTGACTCTGTGTCTGTCCACCCAGATTCTCCTTCCTCAGAATCAGGAACCTCTGCCAGGAAAGCCTGTCCTCCATTAGCGGAGGCTGCAGCAGCAGCTGCAGCACCATCTCCAGGGCGGAAGCCCAGCCCCAATTCATCTACTTCAACCTTATTTTTTTTGCCCTTACCCTTGCCGCCAGTTCGCGATCTGGTTCCACTCTTAGCTCCACCTTTGGGTACAGCTCCAGTAGCTGACCCAGCCTTAGGTATAGCCCCAGTATGAGCTCCAGGGGTTGCTTTCTTGGTGGCGGCTGCCGTTCTAGGGAACCCTGAAGTCCCAGGAGCCTCTGCAACCCCAGTAGGCGCTACAACCCCAGTAGGGGCTGCTGGTCCAGAAGGAGCTGCTGGCCCAGAAGGCGCTCCTGCCCCAGAAGGCGCTGCAGCCCTAGAAGGCGCTACCGCCCCAGAAGGTGCTGCTACCCCAGTAAGCACTGCTGGTATGGAAGCCTCCACCACCTCGGTAGGTGCTGCCACCTCAGTAGGAGCTGGCACACCAGAAGGTACCACTGGCACCCTGGAAGCCTCTGCTGTGAGAGGGGCTTCTGCCAATTTAGGAGCCCCTGCCATTGCAGGGACCTTTGCAGCTGTGGGAGCCTCTGCCTCCTGGGGAGGTGGTGCCACTGCAGAATCCACTGTGGATTCTGATTCAGCTTTAGGCCCAACCCCGGTCCCTTCTGCCTCCTGGGCTTGACTTCCTGCTCCACTCTGAACCTCAGCACTGGATGCAACTGGGGCCACTGCTTCAGCTCCAGCCGTGTCCAGAGCAGAGGCTTCATCCTTGGCCCTATTCTCTGCCCCAGTACGGGCTGGGGTTGGAGGACCAAATCCTGGCCCAAGGTCAATTGTGAATCCAGCCTTTAGTCCAGCTCTAGCCCTGGCTCCAGTCCCTGCCACAGCCCTGGTTTTGGGCTTGGCCAGTCTCTTCTTCATCTGGTTTTTTCCCCTGGCATATTTGTAGACACAGTACCAGGCACTGGCCCCGATCACTATCCCGGCGGCTACACAGCCAGCATCCCGAACACGGCTCATGGTGCAGCTGGAGTAATTCTCTGATCCAGGATGTGGAGCTGGTGTGCCCAAGCCAGGTGCGTGCACGTACAGGCAAGGCACTTCAGCTCAGGCTTGCAAGTTCTGCGGAGGCTGAAAGCCAAGCAGGACCTGGGGTAAAGGGTAAAAATGAGCCTTAGGGCTCTGGCTCACTTCATGCCTAACCAGGTCTACTTAGAGGAGAGTTTGGGGACATAATGCTTGGTGAGTGGGCTACAGGTGTTAAGGCTTGTGTTTGCTGATTCAGGACCCTGGTTGTCCAATATTTTCTACATCCTTCATCCCTAGCACAGCCTGCCCAGTGTCAACACACCTAATTTCCCAGCACCTAAATGGGGGATGAGAGACAGTAAAGACTTCAGGAAAGCTGCTGGAGAGCCAGAAAGAATCCCAGGTTCTGCTCGATTCCCTCAACCCCACCTCAGAGGTCCCCAGATGACGCTCATACACATACCAACCTGCTGGAGCAGGAACAATTTGCTCTTCTTCACAAAGTTTGTAGCTGTGCAGGCCCCAGTGGCGGACACACCTGTTGAGAGATCCCAGAAAGGGCATTTTGGGGGCCTTTGGTAGATGGATTCTCTTCTTTTCCTGATTTGAACCCCTGTGGGCAAGTTTCTCCCTCTTAGGGCTCCTCTCTCCCTTCATATCATTTCCTCCTCAAACTCTCATTTAAGAAGGCAAATGCCACACCCCTTTCCCAGAACCAAAAAGGACAAGCCCAGGGCAAGGGTGTCTTGTTAAGAGGGAGAAGGTGGAGGAAGGGGAGCCTCTGGTCCCAATTTCTGCTCTGGTTTCTGCCACACCTATACCAGGGGTTCTCAAAGCATTCCCACTCCCCGCACTGACCTCCAAGGATTCAGGGCTGTTTCTCCTTCCTTCAGTTCAGTTAGAGCTTCATCCTAAGGGCAGACTGAAGGGCAGAAATACAGACAGAAGACGTTGGAGACAGAGCCTGGTGGATGGCACGGACCCAAGACGAGAGTCCGAATTGCTTTTTAGCATTCACATACGAGAAAGACAAACGGTTCCACCTCTCAATTCCCTTCACTCTTCTCCCTCTTCCCCTCCCACCCCAACCCCCGCCCCTGCGCAGACTCCCCAGGCACTCAACACCTCCTTCCCTTTGCCCCGCCTCCCTGTCCGCCATTTCTCGGGGACACTCGGCCACACCCCTTCTCCTGCACCGAAGCGGGAGGGGGCGGGGCGATGGTGCAGGGAAAGCTGGATGGGACGCGGGACTGGGGATTACAGCCGAACCAACTAGCATCTCCCTACTATGACCACCCATGCTAGGCCTAGCATCAGCCTGCAGAACAGGGGCCCCAATGTTTGCCCTTTCGGTTTGATTGTCGTGTTTTTCCACTGTTCCTCCGCTCTTGGACTCCGCCTCCCACCCCCCATTCCAATCCCCTGTTAACCGCCATTTCTCCCGCCTGCGTACCCGAACTCCTTTTTCAGGGCTGAAAAAACAGGAGCGAAGCACTGTGTGAGCTGGAAGTGTCTGGAAAGCAGCCTGGGGCTTAGCACGCGGTTTAATACCAGATTCTCTCAGGATCTCCCCTCCTGTGAAGCCCACACAGAGCCAGACCCGCCACCTCCCCTACAAAGGCTGGCACACCCATTTCCCAGCACCCCCAAAGGACTAGGGGCCCCCGGGGGGGAAGGGGAGGGTGCGGGGGCGATGGTCGGGGGAGATGTCTGCGAAGTGAGAGTGGGAGTGAACAGGCCAGATTGTTTCCTAATTGCGTGCCCCTCCGATCACCCTTTCCCAACCTCCCCACTGGCCTTATATGCGCTGCCACGTTTATTTCTCTTCCCTCCTCCTCTCAAACCAGACGGGATGTGGGGTGCGGGGCCTGAGTGTCAAAAACAGAACCAGAAAAACATTGGCTGGGAGAGGAAGTAAGCGGATTCTCCGCAAGTATATCAGCGTCTTTACGTTCCCCCCTCCCCCTCTCCCGCCGCCCACCAAAATGAGCTGCGACTGAGCGCGGGGGTCTGGAGAGCCGGCCAAGGGCTGGCAAGGAGGAGGCACCCGCGGCCTCAGACTCCCGCATCTCTGGGCTACTCCTAAACAGGGGTGCCAGGCCATGCCCACCCTCACACCCACCTGCCCGGATCTGGGGGAATTTTCTCCTCCGCCTCCTCGCCTGGGTTAAATGCACGGCAGTACGCAGCGCAATAGAGTTGGTACCCAGAGGAGGACGGAGGACGGCGGTCAGGGCTTTAAGTACCTTTGCCCACGTCAGCTCCTGGTCACGTGAGGGCTGCATCGCCAGTAAGCTTGGGTCCCCAATTTCCACTCCCACCAACAGCACGAGCCCCCTCCTTTACCCCCACTCCCACCTCACCCCATCACATCAGGTTCTGTCACTCAGTTTTTTGTCTTTGTAGTCCCAGAGGCCAAAAGTAACACCTTTTCTCTGTGTAAGAATTTGCCTTTCTCTGGTTACAGGGGAGGGGGTGCATCTTCTTGGAGGGTATTGACAATTTGTACCTTTTTGCTGGGGGAATTATCTCATCGTTTCCTGGGCAACTGGACACTCTTCCTTCTTTCTCCTCTAATCTCCCATCTCCTAGCGCCCACCATTTACCTTGCAGTTGGGACCCTGCTCCAGTATAGATAAGGGGCAGGATGTCAGAGAGGAGACAAGGAGTGGTAGTGGGGTCTTTTGTAATACTTCTCTGCTTTGTTTTTAAAGCTATCACCACCCTTTATTATTATGGTAAGAAAATACAACAAAACAAGAGTTCAGTGTGGGAAGCAGCAACAACAACAACAAAAGAGTAGGCATGTTTTAGAAAAAAGATTTCCCATTAATAGTGGAAAGCACCACTAATTTGGTTAATTTTTAACACATAGAAAATGAATTCTATTAGCCACATAGGAAATAGTTTTCAAAACATGCTAAGGTATTTGAATATTTTAAAATGGAATTTTTTCTCAACAAGATAAGTTTGTTTCCATATGATCTGTAAATTGATCCATGGAGAGATGTTCAGTTGTCTGATCTTATTTATTATGGACAAATAATATCCAACTTTTTCTCCTTCTGGGACAGCTTTTAAGTTTGATAAATAAATGATCCTGTCTTGTTCTGTTAGAGAAACACATTTATTTAATGTTCCCAAACCACTGCTGACTGCTGTGTGAACCTCTTGTAATTTGATGGCTGTAACCATGACAGTTTTGAACACCTGTCCCTGGATTAGGTTCCAGTTTTGTGATTCAGCTCTGGGCAAAAGGAAGAGCTGTCGGGCCAAGGAAATGATGGATGTGAGGGTTGCAGAGATGGTCAAATCCTTCCAGGCCTGTCAAGAGGGGAGTGAAGAAGGTGCTGCCCTCCCACCTCTTCTATATTCCAGAACCTCTCATCCCCTGCATTTGGGCACCGGACACTGTTGCTCACCCCAAAAGTATACATAGATGGGTGACCAAGGTGGTAAATGCCACCTTCACTCAAGTGATCAACCTGAGTAAATGCCTTTGGCTTCTTCCTCTCTTCCCTCCCTCCCTCCGACTCCCACAGAGGTAACTTGGGGGTCCAGAGAAGGAATTGCTGTTCCCACTTACCCTTGCTGCTGCAGGGTTTCCACAAAGATTGCTGGGGGAAACTCCCAGGCCTGCTCGCCCTGCCCTTATTCACAGTGGCTGAGTTCACCTTGTTCCTGACGGTGTCTGCTGCTACCACCTGGCCTGAGAGGTACAGCCTGCTGGCCTCTCACCTCTGGTCTCCTCACCTCAGGGCACCCAGGGAGAAACTAGCCTTGCTTCAGGGTTACTGCCCACAGCCCACACCCACCTTGGTGTCCCCCTACCCAACTGTATGCCTGGGCCCAAGGAGTCTCCCCACTGACCATGTGATTAACCTAGAGAAGGCGGTCTCAGCTGGCCATCTCTGTGTTCTACGTGAAATTGCACACAAGGTTTTGTTTGTGAGTGTTTGTGTAATTAATTGCATTGGGGGGGGTGGCTAATAGAGGTCATTTATCTCATCAATTTCTCAAGGGGTCTGAGATCCCTGCCCTAGATGTTAAGAACCAATACAATGGCCTAGAGAGTTTGTGTTATATAAAATAGTTCAGATTAGGAATATCTTTTTTTTTCTGATAATGAAAGTTATATATATATATGGTTTAAAATATTCAAAACAATAAAGAAATATGTAAAGTATACAGGGAAAGGGCTCTGTGGTATCTTTTCAATTGAAGTCGTTGCTAATGATTTCCATCTTTCTTTTTATATGCATATTAGTAAGTGCATTTGTGCTTATTAATCAAGTTCTGAATTGAGCAACAATAAACAAATAATAAGCATTTAGAATTTGTATTATCATTGTAGTAAACCTGCAGATTAATTTGAGGAATATTAACATTTTAAACTGAGACTTCCTCTCCAGGAATATGACATGTCTCCATTTTGCTCAGATCTAGTTTTATGCTTATTCATCAAATTTTGTGAATTTCTTCAGCTAAGTAATCCCTATTACTTGTTAGGTTTTTCCTAGGTATTTAGTAGTCTGTGTTGCTGAAATGCTATTCTTTTCTCCAATTACAATTTCTGATAGGTGATTTTCTTAGGGAAAATGTTAAACTATTATATATTTATTTTGGATCTGCCAACTTTTGTGATCTGTCTCATTAATCCCAACAGTTTTCCAAAGTGATAACTTTAGTTTTTCCAGGTATGTATACATAATCATCTCCAAATGATGATTTTTACATTTCTTCCTTTCCAATATTTATAACATTTTTGTTTTCCTTTTCTGCATGTGTTATATTGAACAGAACCTCCAGGATTATGTTGATTAATGGTGATGCCTCCTGATCTTGTTCTTGAAGAAAATGAGAATACCTCTTATGTTTCATCATTTAGTGCAACTTTTACTATTTCTAATAGATTTTAATTATTTTTTCAAGGTTACTTTTACTTACATTTACCAGTATCACACAAAAAGCAGTGCAAAGAAATAATGTCAAGAGACATTGCTTTGGGAAAGGTCCCTGGTGTTCTCCTTACTTGCTATGAGTAATAAATCCTTCCTTCTCCCCCATCAAAAAAGAAAGTCAGTAAGTAGAGGTAAGTCATAAGTTCTGTGGTCTTGGTAGCCCACAGGGAGTGAGGAATCTGCTAGGTCAGAAGAGTCTCTGTTATAGTCTACATCAGGTTAAGGATATTTTCTTTCATGCTTATTTTAATGTAACCAAGAATAATTCATTAAATTATAAATTTTTAATTCTTAACTGCATAAGCAAAATTTCCACTTATTCCTATTTTACTATTTTTTTTTAAATTTAGGACTAGCTAACTCAGTTTATCAAATGCTTGGATTGTAAGATTTCTTTTCTCCTTCAGTTTGCCATTGTAATGAATGATGTGGATAGGCCAATCTCCCTGTCACTCTAAGTCTCCCAAGTTCACTCCCCACTCACCTCCCTTGTTTAGGGTAAATGCTAATGTCCTTCCTACAACTGATAGGGCCCTATTCTCTTCAACCTTATTACCTCTCTGCCTCATCTTCTACTACTCTCTCTAGATGAGAGATCCTGGCCTCCTTGATGTTCCTAGAACATACTGGGCTTGTTGCCTTCACAGAACTTTGCATTTGCTTGTCCTCTTGCCTGGGGTATTCTTCCCCCAGATATCACCACACATAGAGCCCTCACTAACTTTAGATCTTTACTCAAAGATCACCTTTCTAGTGATGCCTTCCTTGGCCACCCTGTGTGAAAGTTTAACCCCTCTCAACTTTACATATCTTCTTTTCCTGCTTTTAATTTTTTTCTTTTCAGTATGTATCACTGACAACATACTATATATTTTGTTTATTTACCTTGTTTATCTCTCTCACTAAATGTAAAATTGAGTCTGTTTTATTCACCCCTGTAATCACAGCATTGAGAACAATGCACAGTATGTAGTAGGTGCTCAGTAAATGTTCAGTAAATGAATAAAAAAAGGAATAGTTTTCTAACATTCCTCTTGTAACAATTCTCTGCACTCTAGAAATAAAGCCTAGTTGGTTATGCCATATTAGCAGATTTGTAAACTCTCACATAAATGATTAATTAAATCAGGATCTTGTCCTGTGACAAGATGTAGAAGACATTAAGATTGCTTTGAGTGGCATGTGTAAAGCTCATTATGCAGTGGGAATGATTGTTTATGATACATGCCTTTTTTAAAAATAATATTTTTCTCTTAAAAGAAAATAGTCTAATTATATTCTTCAATAACAAAATAATGCATATTTGAGTTAAAAAAAAAGGAAAGAGAATAGTGCTAACAAGAAAATAACGAAATCCATTCTTACTCTCTGCTTACTTCCCTGACACCCCTTCCCCCAATCCTCATTTCCAGGTATTTTCTGGACTGCAGAGATGACAACATTAGTGATTCCCAGGGGAAAAGGTGAAGGGAGCAGGGAAAAGGACAGAACCATTCCCCAGAGAAGCGGTAGAATTGACGAGCAGCCCGGAGAAAGTGCTGCTTCTTCCAGTAATCAACAATATGTTTGTTGGGTGCGCAAAGACTAAAAAGAGCGACAGTTTCCTGTGTGGTGGGGGGTGGAGGGTGCGGGTTACCGTTTGCTTTCCTAATAATATGAGGGCAAATTTGGGACCCGAACTCACCAGTGACGTAGCTTCACGTGACCAGGATGCTGAAGTCTTGGTCCAGATAGCGGTTCTTGCTCAGGTAACCAGCCCCCGATTTCTTTGGAGGTGGCGTGACTGGGTAAGGAAGGAGGAGGACGAGGAGGAAACCTGTCCTGATTCCTATGGTTCTCGGTGTGGGTGGGTGTTGATTGGAGAGTCCTGGAGCAAGGGTGAAGGGTAGCAGCACGATTTTCAAGTTTGGAGGCACGTTTCTGTTTCGCCACGGAGACACCCGAACCCAGCCTCTTTTTCATGCGGTGCCTTGTAAACGGTAGCTGAAAGGCTTGGCGTCAATGACATGAGCAGGCAGAGGAGAGGGGGAGGAAGCGGCTATCGGGGAGCAGAGCGATGGGGGGGGTACTGTGAGGTGATAGACAGGGCTGACCACCTGGACCGACAGGGAAAGGCGGGGGCGTTCACTGCATTCACCAAAGCACTGAGTCCCCATTGTCTCCTGTTTGTTCCTGTCTGGTTCTGGTTTTGGTCTGTCCCTATCTGCTTGTCCATCTATCAGTGCTGGGATGGCAATCCAAAAGAAAAAGAAGCTCAGCACCTCATTTCCCTCTTCCCTCCCTCCTACCCCAGATCCAGCTTGACTGCAGTTTCAGACTCCAGAGTCCAACTGGCTCTCACAGCCAGAGGGAGAGAGACAGACAGAGAGAGAGAGAGAGAGGACAGAGAGAGACCCTTGAGATATTCGCTCCAGCTGTGGCATGGGCCGTGCTCAGAATTTGGGCTTGATGGCAGCAGGCCTGGTGGTCGGGACTGGCTCCTGGTACTACATATACCAACTAACATGTGGTGGAGAGCAGAACAAGAAAAGACCAGCTGATTCGAAAGACATTAATCCTGCCTACAAAAAGTTTAGAAAATACAGAAAACTGTAAGGAAGAAAATAAAAATAAGCCACCAATAATTATTTCTTGTCTTTCTATCTGTGTAAGAATGTGGATGTGTGTGCGTTTAACATCACTGCAATTATACTGTATATGATATCCTAGAATTTTTTTTTCAGGTTACATTGCAGAGTATGCCTTTTATTAGTTGATGAAAATGCTTCATAAACAGTTTTTTAACAGATTGTTTCATAGTAACATAATAATCTCCCTTTGCTGGCCTTTAAGATGGGAAAGAAATATTAGATGGCTCAACTTTCTAGAAAATAACTGTATGTAGAGGAAATCTACATAGACTTATGAGGTGATGTCGTTCCACGCTAGTTATAGCTGTGGTGCCCACCATCCCAGTTTCCAGAAGGACCAGTTTGGCAGCTTTTGTGCCATGCTTGGCATAGATGGCATAGGAATTTGGTGAGGCTGGGAGCCCTGGGTAGGTAGGATTCAGCCTTCTAGGTGCATCATATAGCCAGCAACCTTGAATTCCTACTCTTTTTTTGGGGGGTGCTGTCAGGGAGCAGGGTAGTGGTCTTATCTGCTCAAGAGACTCAGAGATCTCTTCTTTTTTTCCCTCCAGTTGGAGAGTGGATTTCTTTTTAGTGTGAAGGAAATCCCTCACTAATTGAACTTCATTCTTCACAATGGATTTGAGGTTCTGGGGAAATAAAACTTGGCAAGTCCTGCCACACTTTCTCTGAGGCAAAGAAGTAAGAACTGGCTGAACTGAGAAAGGGAAAGCGGAGAACACAGACAGCTGTAGAGATGAAACATAAATTAATAGCCTTATGTCACGAGTGGGGTTCCCTAGAAGCAGAGCATGACCTGGGGATTCCTCTGATGGTGGTTTATTTAGGGAGTGTATGAAACCTATATGGAGGTGAGGGGAGCAGGATAGCACAGGGGAAGAAACAGGGCATAGTTATATTTCAACTGAAGTGTAGCCTCAACCTGAGCCCAGGGCAGCTCTGGGATGTGAAGGGCGCCACAGAACTGATTCATCTTGAGACAAAGGAGCCAGGCTCTTGTCTCCACTGACTGAAAGCTGTAATGTGTGTGTGAGTTGGTGTGAGATGAAAGCGGTTTTAGCTCTGAGGTATCCTCTGACAAGGGTGTGACTATGAATCTTTAGCATCCAACGCTCATAGCAGCCTGGGGGTTGGATGTACTAGCCCAGGAATCTGAACAGGGCATCAATAGCACCTATTATCTCTACTATAACTAGCCAATCTGCATTCTTGCAATGGAAATGTGCTTCCTATCCGTGTGATTTTCCGACTAGGAGGCCTTAACTTCAGCATCACTAGCTGTGGAGTTACTTCACAGGCGCAGTGTATCAGGAAATGCCCAGATTCTCCATAAACAAAACAAAACAAAAAAGAGGAGCGTGTTCGCACTTCTCTAAACTCCGAGTGGTTCTCTCAGAAACACTCTCCTAAGAGGCTTATTTTCTCTATATAACGTGATTAAGAATCAAATCTCCTCTTTCAGTGTACAAATTTTGGAGGGGCACTGTGTAACATGCGTTTAACACCTTGCAAAAATGTGTTCTGCCTATGAGACTGAAGGCTAGTACAGAGGTCGAGGGATGTTTCAGTATAGGATATGTAGCTCTGGCCCATTTAGAACAGGCTTTTGCAGGTATTAAATTGACTGCCTTACAACTCTTCCAAATTCTTGAAACTAGTGGAAAAGCTGCTAAAGGAAGGGCAGGTGTTGTTCACCTAGACAATCCAAGATGACCCAAGCAGAGATGGGAGAGCATCAAGGCAAAGGGATCTTGCTAGCCTGACAAATGGGCTGCCCATGAATTTAACATCCATGTGGTAGCCCTGGGCTCTTGGGGATAGGAGGCAGGACCATCCACATAGGCTGCTGAGACACATGTTATTCTAGATTGCAAACTCACTTCAGGTTTGAAGGCTCTGGTGCTTCTGCTCTATGCTAGAGAAACAGAAATCTTTGTTAGAGTTGGAGTTGCTGAGCCACTCATCATGGCTCTCCTATCTGAGGCTTGCCACATCATCGAGACACTCTTAAGGTAAGGCACAGGTATCTCAGGCATCCCTCATTTCTTCATCTTCACTAATCTTTTCCCAGAACAGAGAAAAATTTTTTTTGACTTAGGAGCGATTTCTGTCTTTTTAAACCATAAGTTATCTTGCTCAATTTGACAGGTGAGGTCAAGAGAAGGTAAGTTAACCAAGACTCTACAGATACTGATGGGTGATTAGAGAAATTCTTTCTCATTTTAATAGAATACATTTCCTTAAAATAATTAAATATTGAGAAATTTTACTATAATTCAATTTATTTCACTCTCTTCTCCCTAACTAGTTTCACTTATAATTAAAAGTTATACCTTTTAATGTTGTGGGGTAATTAAATATTACAGCATATTGTAGGATACTTTGTAAGAGTCAGTTAAAAAGTCTGCATGACTAGGATTCCCTGCTCTCAGTTAATGGCTTATTTTTATTCAGTATGAACATTTCTCTCACAATCATGTCTGAGTCACTTAAACTGGATATAAGGTCTTTGATCAATTAGGAAACCTATTGTAATTAGGAAACATTATTGTAAAGAGTAGTTGGTATTGATGCCATCAAAATCTGGAGCCACTATCACCTGTATTTTTTTTTAAGAACATACCGATTTGGTTGGGATGCCTTTAAACTTTGTTAAGCCTAACAGTGGGTGATAAAAGTGCTACAAATTGATAAGAATGTGTAAGAAGCTTTCTGCTAGTGATAGAGCTCTTGGTGATAAGGAAAAGAAAAGCCATTACTCCTGAGCAAATGCTCCATGTAATCAAAACCTGAATTGTTCTCTGAAGTCTATGTTTTATGACTCTACACTTATAGCTTTAATAAAATCTTTATTATTGAAATTCCTGCAGAAAATATAAATTTGCTATTCCAAGTCTCAACTTTTCTAGACTTAATTCCATTTTCCCCACTGAAACAGATGTTTTTAGAAGGGAATTTTGAAACGGGTGGATTTCTTTTAAATGCAAAGAATGCTTCATAAGAGAACAGGGTGTACTTGTGAGTCATGTGAACCATTAGGTAACCATGGCAATCCTGACTGCTAAGTGGAGAAGTGCCTTTCTGTTATCTCCGTCTAGGCTCCCCTCCCCCAGGGATCTGAAATCCAGAAAAACGTGTTTCACCTATTTCAATTTTATTTTAAAAAGTGAGTCTAGAACTGGTTACTGGTTGACTATCCAATCAAAATCTCATCAAGAAGGATGCTGGGACTCCAACCCAATCTGCTGGAATATGAGAACTTCCTATGTCATATGTTGTAGTAGATCAGATGGTATCCTGGGAAATAGAACCCTTACCTTGGACTATCAGGATCAACACCCACAACTGCCTCATCAGGCTCAGACTAGCCCTGTGGATTTCTCTTCTGTGGCTTCATTAGGAAAGTACAAAGTTTATTATAGTGCATGAATACAATATGCTTCTCAGGCACTCTTCCTTCCTCCCGATGCCTGGCATAAAAGCCCTAGGATGGCAGGCTCCAGATTGTCCTGGAGCAGGAATGATAAAAATATAAATACAAATTATAATAATAGCAATAAATGTGATGAAAGCTTTCTATGTGTTATCTAATTTCTTTTTATAAAATCTCATTGAGGATAGGTATTAGTTTAGACATGAGGAAATACTCAGAAAAGTTAATCAACTTTGCTAATGTACACAAAACTAGAAATTAGTGGAGTTAGAATCTGAACTGTCTCCAAAACCCACGTTCTTCACCACTAGTTTG